GGGTTTGGATTAATATTTGAAACACTATTTAATGGGACATTTGGTATGACGTTTGTAGGCATATTTTGATTAATATTTTGAGGAGGAATTCTTGGAGAAATCCTTGGAGAAATATTAGGTTGATTAAGTAGATTTGGTTGAATTTGTGGATTCATCCCTTGTACATTTACAGTTGGATTTCTACCTGGACCTGGACCGATGTTTGGACTAAGGAATGATGTATTGTTGATTTGTTGACCTCCATTTTGAAAAGGCGGTCTTGCGTGAGGGAATTGTTGATTCCCTATATGTGGAACCGGAGCAGATTGTATAGGAGGGAAATGAGTAATGGGATTTTGATTTGTCTGTGGAAAACTTCGTGGTCGATCATTTTGAATCAAGTTATTAACAACTGGTTGTTGCGGTGGTTGAGTAAAATTAGATGCTTGGTATTGTCCAGGAGCATTTGGTAAATTATTTGTAACCGTAAAATTATTAACTGGCATTGTATTTTGATTGCCAAAGTTCGGAACCACATTATTAGCTGGCATTGGATTTTGGCCTGCAAATTTCTGAGCAGGATTAGGAAGTGGCATTGGAACTGGCATTGTATTTTGATTGCCAAAGTTCGGAACCACATTATTACCTGGCATTGGATTTTGACCTGCAAATTTTTGAGCAGGATTAGCAGGTGGCATTGGGTTTGGTCTAACAAAGTTCTGAGCATTATTTGGAATTTGACTGGGAAAGTTCTGTGTTGGCGTCAAGTTTGGAGGATGATTAGTTGGCATTCGACCGATAAAGTTCGGATTTGGATTGACAATATTATGAACAGGATTATTAACTGGCGTTGGATGTTGACCAACAATATTCTGACCAGGCTGTGATATTTGGGGATTGAGTTGATTGTTCCTCTGATCAAAATTATTTAAATTATTTAAATTTGTTGCACCTCCCGGTCCCGGTCGTTCAGGTGGTCTATATGCATTATTGTTGTTATTCATACCCAAACGATTTTGATCATTTATAGACATTCCAGCCATATTTTGGTTTAATGATGGTATACCGAAATTGTTTGGTGCATTTAAA